TTTTTAATGGATGGCTAAAAAAACACCAAACAAATTTTTCTCCCCTTTTTTTTGTTTTTTTCCCCCCCCCCCCCCCCCAAAAAAAAATCACTTTACTAAGAGAGAAATAAAATACCAGCAATTTTTAGGATTGAAAAAGCACTTATTGATAGAGCCACTGGTTGGACCAAGAAAGGATACAGTCTTGAATGGAGGCATTTTCCACTTCTAAAAGTTCCTGTTCTACTTGTTTAGAATACTGCCTCAGGTCAACACCCTGGAATGTACAAATAACATGTCGTATCAGCCTCACCAGAGAATATCAACTACACTTTATAACTACCTCACAAGTATTAGAAAAATTATGTACTTATGACAAGTAATTATTATATACCTTTCCACATGACAATAATAATAATAATAATAATAATAATAATAATAATAATAATAATAATAATAATAATTAAATCTATTAAACAGAAAATGTGTTTAATGATAAAAATTAAACAAATCTCTGCATATTTTCATAACATCATAAACATTAACTCACTGTTTTGAGGGCCTCCCTTACAATGTCATCTTCTAAATTTTGCTGGATATGGACTTCAAAAAAACAGAAGGATTACAGAGGTTTGCCATTTTTTCTTCGGGCAAACTATTTGTATGACAACACTCTTTAACAACATAAATATACAGTGTATTATATTATTATATGGCATTATTTTATGGTAAAAGGTCCACTTTTTCAGAAAAAATTTGAAATTGCTGGCTACAGTCTGATAATAAAAGCTGTAAGATATTATAATAACTTACAATCTACTTCATCAAGAAGAAAGTCTTCTGAAGTTAAGTCAAGTTCCCCCATGTGTAACTGATTTGGATCAATGATCTGAAATTAAATGATATTAAACTACAGGTAAACATTCAGCACTGTTAACTGCTTTGTAGCTATTTGGAGACCTCAATACAACCAGTGAAAAGTACCCATTTGCTTTTTGTTCTGATCAACTGAACTAGTTCATAAATCTAATACTGAATCATCGTAACATCCAGTGCTAGGCAGAAAGACCTGCAATACAGTCGCAAATAAAAATGCAGGGGATGGGGGGGGGGCGGTGATCCACCGCAAACATCAAGTCGCACCAAACTTTTGGAGTCCTCTCTAAAACACTGACCTGACTGTAATCCTTTTAATTCACATCTTTAGATAACAAATACACTTAGACGTTTGGTGATTTTGTTTTTTAGTGTAAATATAGAAACGAAAAGTTTCTGCAAAACAAAACTACCTCGTCCGAAAAATCTTCGGCTGCAAGGCCTGCCATGTTGGATGTTGACATGCGCATGCGTAAAGAACTTCCTTTTCCTTCCAAGCAGCCAAGATGGTGGGTGCAATCAGTCAACAGTGAACCTAAAATCCGTTTCATCTGTCCCTGTGAAACATGATTCTCGCCAATTTAGGCAAACATAATATTACCTTGTTTATAAAGTACACGAGTATACTTTTATTTAGGGCCTGTTTATTGCACTTTGTGAAAATTATTGCTGTTAATGTCCACGCTTATCCAATATCAATCGTGTATTTTGGTGTTTCATTTCAGACGTTGGTACTGCCAGAGAAGTTCCAGCACATCTTGCGTGTGATGAACACCAACATTGATGGCAAACGCAAAATTGCGTTCGCCATGACCGCAATCAAAGTAAGGAAACCGATTTTTTGTACAAACTTCTCATATACTTCGTAGCTAATATATTATTGCTAGTGGTAAAGCCGAATGTTGTGTCCTTAGATCACGTAAGTTGCATGTAGACAGTTTCCAAATGCACTCGTTGGTTCTTTTGGTACCGTATGGAATTAATTGTCACTTAAAACATTAAACATAGTTGCTGTTGTATTTTGATTTGAATTGTTCAGAAATGGGGAAAGAAGAGAGAGAGGTAGTTGTTTTGACTCGAACAATGAAGATTTTTATTTGAAGTACTGTGTTACTGTGTATTCTAATGGGAGAGTGTTCAGCAGTGTGTGTGTTACTTGCAGGGTATCGGTCGCCGCTACTCACATGTGTGTGCCAGAAAGGCTGACATCGACCTCAGCAAGAGGGCCGGAGAGCTCAGTGAGGAAGAGGTAGGTGTTCAGCGCTATTAATTTACAATTGTGTTGTTGTACATATGTTATAAGTTTTAAACTCGAAACATAATTCATGATACAATACTCAATCAGTGTGTTAAAAAGCTATAAACACCCTTCCCAAAATGTCCTTCCATCATGTGAAAATGCCACAAATGCACTGCCGATATTAAAACAATTATCCCAGTTCAACATTGCAGCCCAGATGCTTGGTTACTTGCAGGTTGAGCGTATGATGACCATCCTGTCCAACCCTCGCCAGTACAAGATTCCTGACTGGTTCCTGAACAGACAGAAGGACGTCAAGGACGGCAAGTACACCCAGGTCATGTCTAACAGCCTGGACAACAAGCTCCGTGAAGATCTGGAGAGACTGAAGAAGATCAGGGCCCACAGAGGGCTCAGGCACTACTGGGGGTAAGGGCAGGCTGAGGGTGGGGTAGTGGGGAGGGCCCACAGGGGGCTCAGGCACTACTGGGGGAAAGACCAGGCTGATGATGGATGAGGGTGGGTTGTTCAAACTGAGTTTGGTTGAATTTCTCAATACTTGTGGGGAGCTCCAACAGGGGACTCTGGTATTTCTGTGATTAAAGTTTGAAGTGTTGAGGAGGGGGATACTGAATGGGTATTGCTTGAGTGATTCACCACAAGAAAGGCAAGTTTGAAGTAACTTGGAGAGAGTGACTTGTTTTCATAATGCAGGTTTCTTAAATTAAAGTTGAAGGTACAGAAACGAGTAGTTGCACATCAGATTGTTGTTGAAATAAAAGAACACTAAATTTCACTTGTGAATATGGCAAAATCTTTTATTCAGTTAAGGCCATTTATTAGTTTCCAAAGAAACCAATTTAAACAAGCTTAATATCTAATTTACATTGTCTTAGAATTTTATATTGATACACGTGTTAGTAAATGGAATGTTTCATTTATTTTCAGCCTGCGTGTGAGAGGTCAGCACACTAAGACCACTGGGCACAGAGGTAGAACTGTGGGTGTGTCCAAGAAGAAGTAGAGTGGACTATAGTATATATGTGGACTTTTTCATAAGCATCAAGTGAAAATTGGTCATGAATCCGTGAATTTTTGCCATGACCAAAGCAATGTGAAGCTGGAATGGTGTATTTTACACTAAAATACTAATAAAAAGATGTACATTGTGGAATTTATGGAGTTTTTTTCCTTCCTGTGTCTCTATGCAAGCGACAAAGAAAAATAATTTTAACAAATTTGGAAAAGAAAGCAATTGTAAATCAAACTGGAAGTGCATTAATTGGTAGCAATTTTCGATCCTGAGCTCAAGACTTGCCTTTGGCAAAAATGTTTTTATCCCTCCATCCAACGGGACGTGATAATTCCAAAGTGCCTTGAAATGCAACAGAATTGGAACTCTGTTAACTGTTTTGAAAAAGTGAACACACTGCTGTTAAACTTGTAGTGCCCCGGGTATATCGTTTTGGGGCTCTGTAAAAGCATTGCCAGTTACTGAAATGGTTCATGTAAGGTTTGATTGGCCGAAATCCTGATCAATCAGAAATTTGACTGTGACAATAATTGAAAGAAATAAAATATTTGACTATGTAAAGAAGGGACAGAGGCCTTGCCGTCCTTGAACACCAAGACGAACACTGAAGTATACGGGACGGGCACTGACGGAAATCTGTCTTAATATGCTCAATACGCTGTCTTAAAACCATTTTCATGTCCATATTTAAAATTTCAGTGCTTGTATATTTTCTTCCATCTCACCCTCTCTTACACAAAGTACCCTACAATTGTGGACCGCTAATATCTTTTTCATAGACAGTACAGCTAATAGATGCATTAAATTGAATTCAAGCTCACACAGGCTGGTACTCGTGCTGGAGTATCCATGGAAAATGAAAAGTATTATTAATTTATTCATTTACCGCGACCCCAGCACTGTACGTAATACTACAGACTAGGCACAAATGCCCTCATGTCTAGTTTCTGTGCTTGCCTTTTCACTATATAGATATAGATGATATAATTTTTTTGTTTTGGAAACGCACCCTACATGTAGGCCTACCACCAGAATGTCCAGGGGCGGATCCACGATTATTTGAAGGGGGTCCGCGGATGAGAAGCTGACCCTCCCTTCCCCCTTGGCTTGCTGTGCGGGGCACGCTGAAGGGACCCGAAAATTTTTGGTATTTTAGGAGGGCGAACGGTGCCATTTGGTACAGTTTAGAACTATGATCCAGCTAGTCACATTTCTAATATCAAGAAATCAAGGGGGGGGGGGGGGGGGGGGGTCAGGACCCTCCGGCCCCCTAAATCCGCCACTGATGTCCCTCTCTTTCTTTTCTTGATTATAATGGAGGTGAACTCAGGGTAAGACTCTGCGCAGTGTTTTTAATAGAAACTGGGTCAGAAAGCGGTCATTTGCGAACACGGCCAACCTCTTTATTACTACCAAATCATCACCGAGTCATGGCTATTGAGGAGCTGACACTTTACTATTTTCCTGGATCCTACTACTCTCAAAGGGTAAGATTAAATTTGTATATTCTTTAAAACCAAACCCATTTGTCGCAAATAATCGATCGTTGTTGATATACGTCCTGACTGTAACAAATGCTGCGGTTGTGTCGCTGTTGGCCTACATCTCCCGAGTTAGAAAGGTCACTGTACATACGTCTCTGTTATCACACTCGAATTTGTCATGGGCAAGCTGAAAAAACGAACTTCCCAAACTAGGGGTTTATGTGCATCTCTCTCTCTCTCTCTCTCTCTCTCTCTCTATCTCTCTCTCTCTCACACACACACATCGTAAGGGTGAAGCGTGTGCAGATGTTTTGCTGACAAGACCGTACACCTGACAACTGCATAATTTACGAACTAACGGGCAGAGTAGCACGTACATACGTGTACATAAATGAGATTTTAAATTTTAAATGTATGCATCCATATTGCAGGGCCAACACATAAAGAAGTGAGAAACGTTTAAAAGTTGCCCCTTCTCACTTTCATCACTGCACTAATTTGTATCTGTGACTCCTAAAGGTATGTGCATATGTTCAATATACATGTGCAATAAATTTTCTGCACAAAATCTTGGAGTGCAGATTTTCATCCATCGTATGGAATTCCCTCCCTGGATGTTTAATTGGTGTATAATGTAGTACGAGGAGTGTAGATGTGCTGTAAAAATATATATCAAACCGCTGGCAAATATTAGTCATAGCGGCTGACGGGAATTACTCTGTTTAAACGAAATGGGGGGGGGGGGGGGGGGGGGTTAAATATACAACTTTATCGTTCAGCAAATGTCTTTTACGATGCGAAAGGAGTGACTAAGATTTTTTAAATTATTCTCTCAACCAGTAGCTTCCGTATGTGAACTAATATAAAACATTCCGTTGTTTTGCAATCTGTCTCAGAAATGATTGTTTTAAACACTCCAGATTGGGATTTTTCATGACAGACTCATGTTAAACTAATTTTCCTGAGATAAACAGTATTTTTCTCCGTCTAACCAACCTATCACACTCCTTTCCTCACACTCCCCATAACCCTGTTGCATTTTTGGAAAACGAAAAAGTTCGGAACGTACTCTAAAGTCATGGCATATCAATCACAAGACTCGCTTTTGTTATTCCTGACAGTATACATAATACCCAATCTTTTTTAACTGCAGATACAGGGTACTGATTTTAAATTGCTGTTACTTATACATGAACACAGATGTATACATATAGGGCATATGTATTCTCTTTGCAGGTGCTGTTCTATCTGAGAGCACGCAGTATACCTTTCAAGGGCCGATACGTGAACATACTTCTTGGAGAAACCTACGAGCCATGGTACATGCGGATGAACCCCAAGGGACAGGTGCCCGTCATAAAGCATCGCGGGGGGTACCTGGCAGACTCGTGTGCTATTATGCAATACCTGGAGAAGGAATATGGTAATTTTTATTTATTTATTTATTTATTTATTTTTTTTTTTGCACGTTCAGTTAAAGTTTAAGTCGCCTTAACATTTGCTAAGTAGAGTGCACTTTTGGAGCGATTGTTCTCAACTGATATGTGACGTCAGTATAACGAAATATTTTACATCCGTTGGGATTCTTCAATGTTAGATATTTAATTTTAAACTACGAGGCAACAGTATGCGTCGCATAGAACAGGTGTGTCAAAATACATTTTGAATGCCTATAGATACTGCTAAAATATATATACTGTGTACATATATCTGTTTCATTGACATTTTTAGATACCCCTCCAAAGTTGTTACCTGCAGCCTCGACTCCACAGCGAGAGGAAGCACTCCGGTTTACAGATCTGATCAATTCCATCAAGATCGAAGTGATCACGTATGGGATTATAAGTTTTCCTCATCTCTCGCAAGGTGGCATGCTGGTCGGGAAATTCCAAAAGTTAATGGAGTGGAGAGGTACCTGTTGAGTGACGTTAACCGTGCGTTTTTAACAGCAATTACATCAACATCAACAATTACATCTACGCAGACGCGCACCCGAAGACGTTAATCCATTCCTTGAATATAATTTTTTATCGAATCCTGTTAAAAGTTTTGTGGACCCAGTTTTACAGTTTTTGTTTTCAACGAAATTTCTTTTACGTTTTCTCAAATGCAGTACAACTGTCGAAAATGGTGAGTGATGCAAATCTATTATCGATTTACTTTTTTGATTCCATTTTATGTTTTAGCTAAAAGCATGGGACAATACACTCCGTTTTTAGAGAGATATAAAGCTAAATCGCCAGACCTTGAAGATGTGTACAACCAGAAGGAAAAGGACCTGAGCGAATTTTATGCGCAATTTCGAGATGAGGCCACGGTTCAAAGAGCGATAGATGGAGCGCAAAACGTCTTGGATGAACTGGAGGACACATTAGGAAAGAGAAAAGAAGGTGTGTAAAGAAAGGTTACTTTTCAAATTTATTAATGTTCAAATTGATATAATACTTCAGAAGTGACGAATGGTGTAATATATGCACAGATACAAATTTCTTTGTTGTTGAATAGTCCAGTTTAGTTATTAGGCTAACGTTTCGAAGGGAATTTTTCCAAAATTACTTAATGCTTGAACTGTGTAATATGACGTGCATTTCTGAGATCATTAAGTATTAATAACTGTTTCTTATTGAGGTGAATGTTGGCTGTGTGGCCCTGATATGACAGTGGCAGACGTCAACCTGGCGATTCTCATCGGTCGACTGGACAGCGCCGGTATAGGATACATGTTTTGGAAAAATGGAAAACGGCCAAATATTGAGGCTTACTTTCACCGCCTCAAGAAAAACGACGTTTACAAAGCTGTATGTGAGATTAACCCATTTCTGGGAATTTTTCTCCCCCTGGTGAAGAAAAAGTTACCTTCCATCCTTGGGATCAGTGCTGTCTTGGCCATGATCGCCGTGGCCGTCTATTTCTGGAGGAAAGGAGAAATCGATTTGAACACAATTGTGGAAAAAGTGCAGTTTTGGAAATAAGAAAGTGATCGTATAATTTTAGAAGCATTTTGCATGAGTGGGTGTGAGTGGGTGGCCTTAGTGCAAATATCAACGTTATTTATAGAATAATAGATGTAAATGTAATAATAATACATGTAAATGCATATAGAGAGACCAACCCTGTCCAAGGAATCGGATGACAAGCTGTTCTTCGTTTGTAGACAGACCAGCAACATTATAGCCTTTGCTGATGTATATTTTACTATTCAACCTTGAAGTGCTGTTTTTTTTTCTTTTTACGGTTTAAATATATAGGGGCCTACATGGGAACTTGTGTGCTATTACAGGGCTGTCAAATATTTTTAAAAATGGCTTTGGAAATGTTTTATGTAGGTCTATGACGTCAACAAAAGAGCCAAAAATGCCTTGCCGAACAAGTTAGGCACTACATCATTCACTGAATATGAAAAACTATTATATGGAGAAGTTGTGGACAAAATCCGTGCAAATGCATTTACAGGGTATAAGCAACAAGGTTTAATGAGTAATGGCCACCTCAACATTAGCATTACAATAAGTTACAGAATAGAAAAGTAGAACACCAATGACTTTCTGTGTAGGCTAATATACACACATTGTGACTGATACAGTCAGAGTTAGCTTGACTATTAAAGAAGATATTTTTTTATCTGCCACAGTCGAAAATCTGAAAAATTCTACAAAGATTCACTGGTGTTTAAGACGTACAGATATTTCACATCACAGAAAAAATAATTTCGGTGAATTTCTATTCAATATTTACCATCAAAACACATTGTATTTAAATTAAAATCGAAGTCAAGCTAAATTTAATGTTGAACTTTTCTATCTAGGTCATTATTCTAAACGGTGTCAATATGTAGAGTTCACGCAAATCGTCTATTTGCAATATACTTAGTGTATTCCTCAGCGTCGACACAGACCAGGGTCACTTTGGACTAGTAAAGTAAATATCTTGTAAATATAGATTACGTTAGCAAGTGGCATATTGCAGACAATGGCGGACGACGAATTAACAGTTCTCTACAATCCAGGATCGTTTTACTCACAAAAGGTAACTTAATAAATTATTTTAACTTTGCATGAGTGCATAACACAACCGGTGAAAAACACTGCTATGTTATTAAATGATAAGTGAAGATTATGTGACAATCAGATTAGATTTCTTCTCGAATAGTGTCATGGAAGGCCATGTCCGAGGAAAAATATTATTTTGTATTCCTTTAACCATTATATATGTATTTGCCGAGGTAAAACCGTTATCCATATGAAAGATGGGTTACTAGGCCAACTGACAGTACCAATTATATCCCAGGCGTGCGTCCAGGGTTACGTGTCAGTAGATGTAGCTGACCTCCTTCTCCCCACCCTCACCCCGCTCTCTCTCTTTCTTTCTCATCCAGCTGTCTCTCTTCTTCTTCTTCTTCTTCTTCTTAATTTGCTTCTTTTTCTTCTCTCTCTCTCTCTGTCTCTCTTCTTCGCCTTCCTCTCTCTGTTCTACTACTTCTTCTTTTTCTTGTTCTCTCTCACTCTGATATCACAGACCATAGATTCAAGATATAACGAAGAACATTGGTATTAAGTTAAATAGCCCGTGCACAACATGCAGGTGTACTCTATCCTCTCCTACAGACCAGCTTGGTGTTTTGGTGGAAAATTCTCGCTACAGAAATAGGCACATTTACTGTACCTAGTGAATGACCAGAGAAATATCTGCAGATATCCAGAGAAACATTCTCTCTGTGACCCCAGTAGAGGGTACTGTACTTAACTGAGAGGAGCACTCGTACATTGTAGGTTTTAATGAGGTCCAATAAATCACTCCAATACAATAACCCTGTAGCCTCATCGTGCACGCACATCTGGATGGTAGGAGGCTGAAATATATTGGGTGGCTAAAAAAAAGCGTTACCAATTTCAAATTTCAGTAACTTCAACAGTTTGAAGATATTGCAATAAAACTGAAGATATTTCAGGAAAATGATGTTTTTTTATAAACGCTTAACATTTCACGACTCTGCCTTTCTTAGTTTTGGCAAACCGAAAAAATCAAAATCGTTAGTCAAGGTGTCAAATCTGCCAGTCACTGGCACCCGTCAGAAGTCACATGGGCCAACATGGCATTTTTTTACTTAAGATTTTTTTTCTGCTTTTTTTTCTGTTTTTCCCTAATATACCCCTAATTCCATTGCAATATCTTTAAAACTGTTGAAGTACTTGAACTTTGAACTTAGTATTTTTTTTGCCACCAGTTATACATAATTATTGAAAATATTATTTAAGGACACTGTTAGAGCAAACAACATAATTTCCATAACTGTTTAAGAAAGCATATTAATGATATTTAATTACTGTATTATCAGGATACATGGGTGTGCTCCACAGGTAAAAACTTGCTGTTGTCAGGGCATGCGAGAACCGATTCTGACGCTTGCTTTTTTTCTGTTTTATTATTATTATTATTATTTTTGTTCAAGTAGCTCATCATGTTTTCCTTGCACATGTTGCAGGTTGCACTATATCTGAAGGAGCGGAATATTTCGTTCAACGAAAATATCATCAATTTAGCCGGTGGAGAAACATACAAACCATGGTTCCTTAGAATCAACCCTGAGGGCCAGGTGCCCGTTCTAAAGCACCAAGGGAAATACATTCCAGATTCTAAAGCCATTATTGACTATCTGGAGAATGCCTACGGTTAGTTATCTAATAATATTTGCACTTCCTTAGATTCGTAATCACGTGCTCTTGATATTACTGCTTAGTTTTGCATTCTGTTTTATTATTTTATAAAATTGAGAAATGTTTTTAGTGGACATGAGGATAAATTAATTGACTTGATGTATGCATTTTCTTTTTGGTGGCGGATGTGTAATCTGGGTATCTCTTATGTGTTGCTTACACCCTAGTTCTTGTTTGATTTACTAGTACATTGTTGTCTCTAAGTAGCTTATATCTTAATAAGTACACGAGCAATCTGCCAAAATTTACTGTGTGTAATATGACAGATTTCATTTCTTCTCCTTATTAAGTACAGCGTTGATTTTTAAAGTACACATCAGCGAACTGTTTGACTTAATATCTTCTCATCCACTATTCTTATACCTGTAGTTTTGGAGCGAATGAAAGCCATCAAATAGGCAAATTAAAAACCTCAACCTTTCTTCTAAAATATTTTAATATAAGTTCAAACCACAATCGTAGATATTGTATTGAATTGATTGCAGTGAATTCTTGAATGAATGCAACAAATGTCTAATCTCGACTTCAACAAGATTAATCATTTACTTTATTTTATCTTATTTTATCTAAGACACGTCTCCGAAGTTGTTACCGCCAGCTGGAAGCGACGAAAGAGAAAAAGTTCAACGTCTCTCAGAGCTAATCAGTAGCGTTGAGATAGAAGTAATAACCTTTGGGATGATGATATTTCCCCACTACACACAGGAAGGTCACATCACGGGTATCATTGCCCGGCTTGGACGATGGAGAGGTAATGATCTTACCCCCTGCGGACTTTTTTACGATAAGCTCAGCTACAAACCTTGCAAGCCTTATAGCTGTCCAGCATCTTTCTTTGATTTTCAGTGGTTCTTTTCCCAAATGTTTTGATGAAGCTTTTTTTTTTGTTGATCTCATGTGGTAAAAGTTTACGTACATTGTGCTTTTATTTTTAGCGTGACGTGGCCGATACACACACACACACACACACACACACACACACACACACACACACACACATATATTCTTTTCAATGTGATCCTTGTATTGTTAGTTAAATTGGTATGTTGATCCTCAAGTATGTGACATTAGGGTTTGGGTGGAGGTGATTTTCAATCTTTATTTAAATGGTTATAATATAGCCGCTAAATCCAGATTGCACGTTTTTTCCTGAATCGTCAGCCATTTCTTTGGGCTGTACAATTGAGTGAATACAAAACAAATATTTAGAGCTCTGCATATTTTTATGTGTGGTGTTAACCGATACAGAGGCTGTCAATAAAATGACGATCAATTATCGCTGCAGTAACATGACGTCACATTGTCATAGCGTTAAGATGACGTCATGTTACTGCAGTGATAACTGATCGTCATTATAATGACAGCCTCAATATCTCTATATCTTAGCTTCAAGAATGGGGAAATACGCTGCGGGGTTTGAAAAAGTTAAGGCAGCTTACCCCGACCTACGGGAGGCATACAGTAAAAAAGCAGCGTTCTTGAGCAACTTTGTGAAGCGGTTCAATGATGAGGCCACAGTGAAAGAAGCTTTGGAAAAGGCGGAAAAAGTTTTTGATGCAATTGAAGATAAACTACGCCTGCGGGATAACGGTAGGTTTTAAAAACAGCAAGTGTGAAGTGACAAGTTACAAAGAAAATAAAAACGGAACTGTTTTTAAAAGTTGGTTCGAAAAGTCACATTAAAGACAACCAAGATTGAATATTTTAAGATACTGAAGATAAAACATGTTATTACAGTTAGTTATTATTATTATATATCAGTTGTAAAGTTATTAGAAATTAGAGACTAGTCCTCCCAAATATGTTTCAGCATACTAGAAATTCACCTATATTTTTATGTTGGTATCTCTGCGTACCACAAATGTATTTCAGCTTCGCATACTCCTTGTACTTATAACTGGTTTAAGTACTAAAAATTGGGTATTTTCACTTTTCTATATGTAACTAGCCGGTGGCGACTGGTTGTGCGGTCCAGCCATGACAGTGGCAGACATTCACCTTGCAGTTCTATTCGGGCGTCTCAACTTTCTGGGTTTGAGACACCGCTACTGGGAAAACGGCAGACGACCGAACACTAAAGCATACTACCTTCGTCTAAAGAAACGCGACACCTACCGATCAGTGTGTGAAAAGGCCTTTAATCCAATCACAATGCTGCTTATTCCAATGTTCCGCGCAAAATTGCCATTGATAATAGGTGTCAGCACAGTCGTGGCGGCGGTGGCTGTCGGTTTTCACATCTGGCGACGTGGGGATCTTGACCTCGAGAAACTGTGCGAGAAACTGCAGTTTTGGAAAAATTAAATATAGATATAATTAAATATAGATGCATGCTTAATCAAGCTGTTTTAATCACAGGAAGGCTAAAAGGAAAACTAATATTTTAAGGGAGATCTCAAATAAACGATTGTTATTTTATATATGTATGCAAAATAGTAGGCAACTCCTACATATGTATGTATGGTTGTAGACTTGATTTAATTTTAAAAAGTAAAATGGACCATGGTTGATTTTCCAGAAGAGAACCAAAGTGGATGAGTACTATCAAGCACCTGTGTAGAAGAGTTGTGTAATGTAGGCGACATGTCAAGCCTCAGTTAGGCTAACGCACCACTTTCTGTATTTACACTGTTACACATTGTTTCCTATTTAGTTACATGATTCACCGAATAAATATGGATTATTGTGCACAATTATTGTGGGTCGTCGTGGTATTATTCATTTTCATTCTGTAACCTCGAGCTCTTGAACCAACCATCACTCAAGCACGTACACACGAACACGTGCGTGCTCACACACACACACACACACACACACACACACGCAAACACTACACACACCTTACGGGAGGTTTGTCTGGAAAACAGATGAGATATATATATTAAGTAGAGGAAACGGATGATCAAAATGTGACATTACACAAGTATATTCTGTGCCCCTGTTTTATTAACACGTACAGGAAATTTAGTCCAATAATGTGCACACCCCGTGGCTTCTCACGCATTCCACATTATAACGGGAAACGAGTTCCACGCTACAGGCAGGATGGTGCACATTACTCCAATGATCTGCTGCCAGCCAAGCCGCCGTTCAGTACAGCTGGCTACTAGCAGTCCTGAGCATTCAACCCGTCAAAAGCAATGGAGCTGTTGGTAGGATGGGTGGTACTGGTCATACTGCTGCAGTCACACTCAGCTGATGGTGGTGAGTGTTGTGTTGAAGTTACCAACTTTACACACTAAGCCAATTTCCTTTCATTTTTGCCTGTAGGCTAGGTAGTTTAAATTTGTCTGTGTCGTTCTGAAACTTTTAATAAAAGAAACTGGAAATTCGCTTTAGGCCTATGTTATTTAATGATCGTTACCTTTGAAGCAGTGTACATTGGTTTGATAGAAACATACCTTATTATGGCGGAGAATTCTCTTTATTCTGTCTTACACAGAAGTGGCTATAACCTGCTTAGGACAATGTTGCTGATTTTTAATGCTTGTATTACTAGTACAATAACGAAAAACTTATTTATATGCGATAAGGAAGTACTGAAAGTGATATACAATTGACCCCTTTGCAATTGGTTGTTAAGAGCGATAGCAGTTTGCGTAAAGATACCACTTTTATCCATTCTTTTTTCTTTTGCTTGGGGTTACATGTCATTTACACCATATCTCCACCTTAAACTTGGCTTGGTCAATTTGGGAGTAATAAGTAAATTAACACCATTCTATATGTGTATTATAACAAGTTAACAGTGTCAGACAAAGGTATTTGTGTCGACTGTTCGACATAAAAATAATACCATCTACTGTAAATAAAGGGAAGGAGAACGTGTGTCCTGATATAAACCAAGAGTGTTTTGCTCTTGTGGCCATGGTGAATTAGTACCCGGACCTTAATACTAAATGAGTTCAAGAGTGGGATAGTAAATTAAATCAAAACATCTTTCTGTTATCCAGATTAACAAAGAACGCGTTGCTTTAAATTGTTAAACTTTTCGTTCGCCTATCCCTGTTTCCTTACAGAGCATAGTTATTTTCTTGTTCTGTTACTCGTTAACAGAAAAAGCCTAAAATAGAAAGTTCATGTATTGTTCTCCGTGAGATACTAGATGTCACAAAGGTTATAAAAGAAGTATTTAAAGTTTTCGAGACCAGTTTTAATGATGGGGATATTAAAAAACTATTCGCCTAATTATATTAATACAGAATCGAAGCTGCAGACCCTGACGTTGGAGATACATCTCATTCATATACGCATTGGGTCTTTACAATAAGACACGATAAGAAAACATACGGCGGAAGGACTGCAGCTAGGAATGTAGTGAAGTTATAGTAAAATATTTCGCCTCTTTACTATAATTGCATAGTTTTCAAACGATATGCATCCATCCTTAAGAGCCATATCCCCAGCATATGACTAAAAGTTTGAGATCACTTACTTTGACCAGTGTGACGCAATTTGGGTCTATACCGTAGGGCTCCGACAGAAAACATCAAGACGAAGCGATAAGACTACAAACTTATTTCAGTGTCCTTGTTTGTTGCAGCTGTATGTCTTCTTTCCAATATTATAAAAGATTATAGGGAGGTTTTACTTATAAGAACGCCAATAAACTGTTTGTGCATAGTTAATATTATTTTATGTATCATTCTTAACATGAAAATATTATTGATGATAACTAATGGAGTATACCATAGCAGTATACCTTGATCATGTTAAACCATAACGTTATATAAACGTTATGTATATGTTTCTATTAACCATTTTATCAAAAACATTTTCATAACGTTATGAGAAACGTGTTTATAATGATAAAAAGATATACGCATTAACGTTTTCAAAACGTAGGGCAAGGCAATTGTTCTAAACGTAAGGACTGCAGCTTGAAATGCCTGGTTTTCATTATCATGTCTTTTCCGTGTTTACAGTACGAAGTGATGGAGCCGAGGCGCCAAGATTTAAACGGTTGATTGGGGGTCGCACCATATCCGACCGCGGCAAGTGGCCGTGGCTGGTGTCCCTGCAGGGGCATGTCCCTGGGAAGACTTTCTTCGGAATCCCTCTAACTATATATGAGCTTTATTGTGGAGGATCCCTGTTGAACGACAGATGGATATTGACGGCAGCTCACTGCTTTTATCTCAGGTAGGCTACGAGTTCTGTACGTGTACTGTACTAGTCAATCTCTCTCTCTCTCTCTCTCTGTGTGTGTGTGTGTGTGTGTGTGTGTGTGTGTGTGTGTGTGTAAAACAGTATTCTTTCAACATTGCTTTAATAATTGGTTTGAAAATTTTATACCCATATCGTCTATGAATCCCCAATTATTCTATAATCTTTTAACCAGGAACGGAGCAACCAAACCCGATGCCTGGGAAGCAAGAATTGCGGCCGTAAAGATCAAAGTAAGTTTATAAACCCTGTTTCTCTGAATATTAAAAAATGACTGTACACTTCTCAAGCAGTATACTATACACGCAAGAGTAAATCGAGTAAATGTCAGTGTATTGTTTATTATTGCGAGAATGGACTTTTGTGAATGTATCCGTACAGAACTCCTTTTTATTTATCTGTTCATTTATCTTTTTATTTATTTATTATTTTAATGCATGCTATTTAAAAAAAAAACGTTAATTTCTTTTACTTTCTATGTGCATTTGTAAGTGTGTTACATGTACATGTGACTAGCTCACTTGTGTATGTGAACGGAGTCTTCTTATCCTTGAGAGGACAAAGGTAAATGTGCATTATCGATATTCTGAATAAAAAAATAGAGAAATATAAGAAATATGGGTATAATGGAATAGGAACCAAGTGTCTGTGCTATTGTTTATTGTAGCCGTCGGCCTCGGACTATTTCATGCACGTGTTGGGCCGTGTCTTCAGCAGGCAGGAGTGGCAGCAATGGAATGTCGATGCGGAGAAAATTATTATTCATCCAGGTTATGACGAAAGATGTGAGTCGTGTGAAGACAATCATACATGGGCCCTAAACATGCAGTCCGTTTTAACCTAATTAACGCCCTCAAATTTGGTTTAGCACCCTGTTCCTGTCTGAACTGTTTCAAACACAAAGCATGAGTAGATATACAAGCCCTTGTTCAAGATTAGCCGAAGTAATGCTTTACACCATCTATATGGTACTACATGTACATCTCATCGTTTTCTGCCTGCACTTCTTTTCCTAGCATTGTGGGAGAATGACATAGCTCTGGTGAAACTGGAACGCAGCGTCCCCGTCGGCCCAACCACCACATTCGTCACATCTGTGGAACTCCCAGCGCGACAAGGGGACGTCTCCTTCCCTGAAGACGGGCAAGAATGCGTGATGAAAGGCTGGGGCTGCACCAGCAGCGGTAAGATAACGTGAGAAAGTGAGAAATTGTCTTCTACAAGGTGTCTACTTTTTTCATTTTTCTTTCCCTAAGGCTCCCACTCGCCTTACCAAAATTTCGGTTACCACAGTGTGTGTGGATTCAATGAAATAAATGAATGTATTATAAGACAAGACATGGTTGTTCTTTCGTTATATTACAAACATCTGATACATGTAAATTGGGTGCACCAGAAATCACAATGTACACGTCTTTGCAATATCTCAAGATTTCGTAATCGTTTTTAATAATATTTGGATTCTGGGGCACAAGCAAGTATAAAACACGAATTCCTGTGTACATTACAGGTGCCACGGTGTCCGATCATGCCATGGAGCTGTCTCTACCCAAACTGTCGGACAGGGAGTGTAGACGGTTTTGGAACGTTCGCCGCGACACCCGCCTCTGTGCCGGCTACAATTTGGCGGCCAAAGGCTTGTGCCCTGTGAGTATGATCAAGATTACCAACAGAAAACAGGTGGTACTCCATTCACGTTTGATGTGGCAATCTTTTATCATCATCATCATCATCATCATCTTCCTCATTTAAAGCCAAAAGTGTTCCACTGTTGGACAAAGGCCTCAGGATACTTCCTCCAGTGTATTCTGTCTTAGGATTCACACTTCCAGTTTGTTTTTTTCCAGTACTGTTCTAATTCATCCTTCCATCTCTTACGAGGCTTCCCTTGTTTCCTATGTCCGTATCTTGGTGTCCATTTTGTCAGTCTTACTGTCCATCTGTCATCTTTGATTGTACTGATATATTCTGCCCATCTCCATTTCATTTCTTTAATTGTAAGAAGCACACTCTTCACTTTGGTCTGTTCTCTTATCTATTTAATGGTCATCCTATCTCTTATCCTGATGTTTAACACACTTCTTTCCATCTTTCTCTGTGTTACTTGTAGCTTGGTTCCATGGATGCATTCACCGTCCATGTCTCTGAACCATAGGTGATTGCTGTCAGCTGTGACAATCTTTAGTAATGTTCGTGTAGATGAAATTGTTGAATTTGGAAATATTGGCCGACATATATATTTTTTTATTTATTTAGGGGGACAGCGGTGGACCACTTGTGTGCAAAAGGCAAGACAAGTGGATTCAAGTCGGCATTGCGTCATTCTCCAGCGCTCGATCTCCGGGACAAGTGCCTGGCGTTTTTACACGCGTTAGTGCTTACCTTGATTGGATCGCAAAGACCATTGCTGAAAATTAGATAGACGTTTATTCACAGGATTCAATCTCAATGAAAAATGTGTTATTAAAGTAAAGTGAAAGAAACATTGATAATTACTGCATGTCACGTGTAACACTGGCGGAATTTCGACTTCGATATGTAAAGCCTGGAGATAATTGTTCTTTAATTGCACGTAGAAGGAAGAATGGAACAATATCTCAGAAAAAAGATTTTGAAAACGTTACTGGAGACTTACCGCACCGCCTACTGAAGATTAACGCAGTACCCGGTTTAAAGACTACATTCTGATGTTTTAACAGTTTAGCTTTTGGAAATCTTCACTGTTAATTGGGATTTTCTGTACCCTAAGTCAAGATAGATATTGTATCTGGAATAAAAAAAAAACACTTTTTAAAACGGCTGACAGCTGTCATCATTTGTAAACAAAACCACATGGGATTGAAAGCAGGACAACATTTTTTTGACAAAGGGTGTGCCCTACTGTTTGATCATGTCCTAGCTTTTAATATATAACCTTTAACATTTATATCCCATGATAAGAACAACAGTACGTTGCAAGTACGAACACTGCTGTCACACGAGTATGTTGTCGCTTTTTTAACTTCATACGGAGAGTTATGTGGGAACACAATGATATGTGAGAATTGCTTGGTTTCCCTGTCCCATCCCACTCGTGCTTGATAAGTATTTCCTTAGATTTAAACAAGATTTCAGACAACTTAGGTCTACATATTGTGAACATTTGCCAGCTATTTAATTTAAAAACAAGCACCAGTTGAGATTCCTTTTTGATGGCCATACATGTATGTTCATTTATATGTATTTTGCGAATCGCAGTGGAGATCACGAAATATTTTAATTGCAATTGGTAAATTGAAAACTTTGAGATGACTTTCTACACAAAATAAATTCACATTGTTTAATCTTAGCTACGAAAAATAATTTATGGGCGGTAAATCATTTTGCAATAAACAAATGTTTATAATTCCTTGTTGGCCTTTTTAAGGAAGTAGTCACTGTTTTGGACGTTCAAGCTGTTTTGGACGTTCACGCCGCACTCATCATTCTTTAAATGATAAAACTGATAAAAATAGAAATATGAAATTTACGTATCTTAACTTGCAATATATGTCAGAGCAATTCTTGTTTGTCCTTATGATTACAATTACTTTTTATTATCGACAGCTAAAAAAACAGTAATTGTTGAAATTTTGGCAATTTTATGGACATACCTTCGGACATTATTTATGTAGAATAATGGTATTTATTTTAGAGAAATTCCGGCAGTACACAGATCCTTTCGTCCATTGTTGCGTGATGTAGTCGCTTGAAAAACTGTTCTTTGCAAAATGACTAAGAGTAAATTAAAAATAAACACAAACTGACCTCAAGTTCCCCAACAAAAAAATCCATTACTTTTATTTCCTCATTTCGATTCTAGTTTGCCGTCAGATGATCTTCCCTGAGCTTTATTTCGGACATATAAACAACCGTTGCTCCACTCTTTCATTAACTGTTGGATACCAAGTGATTTTTCATTCAGACATTGTAAAATAAAAAAGAAATCATCTCTAAGCCGCTTAAAGCTGAAAGCAATTTCGCAAGATAACACTTGGAGATGAATCAATCCTGTTAGATCGATCTAGGTATGGGAACCGTGTCTTATAATTAGAGACCCCTGTGATATCAGAGTGTAGAGTTTGAAATGGTATACAAAACGTCTGTTATATAATCTTTTAGTACTGAAATACTTGGCGGCGATGGCGGGGATACACTCTGCCACTAATAAATGCCCTTGATCTTAGATGAACCGATCCAGATCTTTGGTCATCTAGTGGCCTGGTTCTTACCCGGACAATTCGGCCTGTGCGTGCCAGATATAGATTAAATTAGATAGTTTTTTCGACAATCCCACTGTGATGAAAAATACGTTTACCCGACCGACATCAATTGAAATATACATGCATTTCTCAAACAATTTACGAAACCGGCCCCCTTTCCTGTGGCGGATTTAGAGGGGGATACAGACAAGCATACAAATGGTAATGAAAGAAAATATATATTTATGTATTTTTCAATTTTAAGTAAGGGGCATGGCGTGGTCGATTTCACAGAAAGAATTGTGTGACAAATCTGAGCCGGAAGGTCAAATGTACTCTTACATTTCGGTCAAACTCCTCCAATCTCAGTACATTGCCAGAAAATTCCTGTTTATTCGAATCATATTATAGTCCATTCCTCTTCATGTTGAAGCTTAACTTTATTTATTTTTAAAAACGAAAAATAAATATATCTTTAGTTCTCGAGATATCCAATACTTTTTAACGATTTCGTGATAAGACACCATTTTTCTCTTTTTTGGATCTGGACTGGTCATTCACTGTATAAGGGCACGTTATGGGTAGTGAGTCCCATTTGTCATTATTATTTTTATTATCATATACACAGAGGCGGTTTCGTCATTTGCATCGGTCAGTCGGTTTTGGTCACGCCATCGTTATCCGGGGGGATATCGTATAAAAAATAAAAGGCCTTATCAGTATCTTGCATTCAACGCCTGAACAGCGCAAGCGAAGGACTCGAAACAAAAGTAAGCAAGAGTATTTTTGGGAAAATTATTTTAATTAACATTTGATATTTGAAGACAAGACGTGTATTGGTTGTTGTTGCGGACAAGGATTTAATTTCGCTGAGAATAGTGCTTAATGCAATTTGCATGCGTTCCTTTTCTCATAGACAGAAAGTTTCATTTATGATAGATCCACATATTTGGTTTACCTGTTAGTCTATAAGGTGTCCCTTAATACCGTTTAAACCATTTCCATTTTCGCGAGTGTAATTTTGGTTTGTAGAATTTGCTAAATTAAGAGTATAAATTAATAAATTTTGAAGGCCGTTAACCTCACTAAATGTGCCAAGTTTTAGTAAGCCGTCAGTAAAAAAAAAGCATAACTCTTTCTCCTTTCGGAAAAAGTCATACCATGTCGGTAATGAGGCTAGTTTGACATTGGCGTTTTTCAGGGACTTGGATTGGTTTTGTACCAGTACTCACTCACGCTCTTCTAGCTCCCCTACAATACTAACGGTCAAGGTCACGAGAGAGTAGTCGTCAATTTGACTACTCCTATTGGCTGGCCAACTCACCACTTTGATAGAAAAGAGGGTTTCAGTCTAAATGATCAAATCATGGCTTATTGGGAATGTAATACAAAGTTAAAAGACCCAAAGTACTTACTTTGTGACATTTGGAGGTCATAACACTTCCAATATTTTACACTCGCAAAAATGGAATAGCATGTCCATTTCTAAAGGTATTTTCCAGTCAGGCCTTATGGACTAGTGGGAGCGGAAGAGGGACTAACAAGTCATCATAAAGACTGAGGCAATCAGACTGGGTTCCCATACCTACATCGATCTAACAGGATCGATCCATCTCCAAGGGGTTTCTCGCAAAATTGCTTTCAGCTTAAGCGGCTTATATGTCTGGCATGCCTACTGAAGCTGTTAAACGATAATTAATTGCCCCAGCTTCAGTAGGCGTGGCAGACATCTAAGCCGTTTAAGTTGATTGTAATTTAGCGAGAATCCCCTTGGAGATAGATCGATCCACAATTAGTACGATAGGGTCTGGGAGTGGCCCCATAGTTGTTCACCTTCACCTAAACAAGTAATTCAATCGTGACCAAGTCTGTCAGAGTGCATGAAGGGAGGTAACAGCCAACAGGTAAACCAAATATGTGCATTTATCATAAAACGTTTTAAATATCAAAACTAAGATTCGGTGAATTTTTTTACGTATATTGTTCCTCGTCTTTATGATTTTAGACTAATATTTCATTGGCAGTTTTAATTTTATGTGAATTTTAAAAGGGCATTTTCTAAGGTTGCTCTGATATTATTTCGTCTGGGCAGCAGCACATGCTCATAAATGTCCTCCTCTGCATGGACAGTTGCCAACATAATCTCAGTATCTTTATATTTTTAAGTGAAAAACAATGGTGACACAGAATAGATTTGCTTTTCCGGCGTATCTGTCGACTTTTGTCGATATATATATATATATATATATATATATATATATATATATATATATATATATATATATATATATATATTTTTTTTTTTTTTTTTTTTTTTTTTTGGGGGGGGGGGGGGGGGGGGG